AGCGTGGCCTTTTCTGGCAAAGATTAACAGAGGCAGCCACTGCAGTCCACATGTTTAGGTTGGGTGAATAAATTGGAGCATTTGTTACTGTGTTATAGATGTCTTGTTACTTGTCAAATGTGAAGTGGGCCAAGGGAAGAATAAAAAAGGGTCTTGTCAAGCTGGTGAGATGGCCTGTTTTGCTGCTGTCAGCTCTGATTGCAGTTAGTTTTGCAAACAGAATACAGTTGCCATTTCCAGCAGTGAAGCATGAATTTTTAATAACAAAAGCACAAACCAACCAAATCAAGGCAAGAATGATATCCTACCATAGATATTAAAAGTACTGATTTCTGGGTATGGCAGGAAAGCATCTTGTGTAAGTGATCAAAAAAAAAAGGTCTCCTAACTGGTTTCTCTAAGATTTATTAATTGCAAATAGAGTTTAGAGTATTTTTTTTCTTTTTTTTTTCTTTGTTTTCTTTATTTTCTTTGGTTTTTTTTCCCTGTAAACTCAGATGTTGTTCTGATGCCCCATCCCTGGAAGAGTTCAGGGCCAGGTTGGGTGGGACTCTGAGCAACCTGATCTAGAGGGTGACATCCCTGCCTCTGACAGAAGGGGTTGGAATTAGATGATCTTCAAGGTCCCTTCCAACCCAAACCTTTCTGTGGCTCATCAGCTCTTATGGTTATTAGATCTACTAAAAATTTCTCTTGAAGATCTGCAGAAAGCTTGAGATGAATAGAATAGAGAAAAATAAGCGGTTCAAAATTTAAACCAGTTGAAAAAGTAAAACAATTTGAATTTGGGTATTTTAAAATGCTTTCTAATTGGAAATTTTAGATTGTTCTAGTTCCTCCTGGGTTTGCATAGCAGACTTCTCATAAACTTCTGCTGAAGTGTTTGGTTGCTGCAGTTGTGATGTTGGAATAGCTTGCATTTCCCGCTCCCCTCCAAAACGCTTTTGTTCATTGTGTGGTGTTATAAATGACCATGTTGTAACAGTTAGCAGTTCTGTTGGAAATCTCTTGATCATGTGGTTAGAGAAGTGACTGCAGCGAGAGAGGTTTTGAAGATGAAGTTAATTAAATGTCTGTTATAGCACTTTAGCACTAGGTAAATAGCTGGCTGTAATGTGTTAAGCAGATTCTAGGGTATCTAGGATAACCCTGGGCAAGTCACAGCACAACACTTCTGCAGCCTTGAAAACATTCCTACCAACATTAATAATCAAAATACCTCCATGATACAGATAAAACTAATGAGCCAGACAAGCGTGTTTGTCCAGGTTTTTAGAGAGAACCAGTGTCAAGTTCTCGTCTCTTGGTGTTGTGCTCAGAGCCCCCTGCCAACTCTTTCTCTCTAGCAGAAATTTGTTAATGGAGTCAAATACAGTTATAACCAACTGTAATTTTAAAGTGTGTTGTAATAAAAGACAGGATTTTTTGCACCTATCAAAAACTGTCTCCGATAACAATCTATACAGGCTTTCAACTGGGGGGTATAATGTCATGGTACATGCTGTGGTTACATTTTCTCTGTTCACTTGTTTTTTCATGTTCAAGGATGTAGGTGCATTTCTATAAAGAGTCTTTTTGTGTAATATTTCACTTGATTTTAAGCATCCCTACGGAATTAGCCAGGTAGCCCATTCCCTTTACTATTTCTTTTTCCTCACAGGCCTCAGTAAAGGTATGTTAGAAAATAGAAGAAATTACCAAGAGGCATCTCATTCAACTACCAACAAAATGTCCCAATTGTCAATGGAAGATTTTCTTCTTGTTTGCTAGGTCAGCAGGGAGAAGTTTTCCTGTTTATTTTTAGCGTATATGTCCATGGGACAGAACTGAGGTTGGGAATGTATCTGCAGTACTGTTTGCTTGGAGAAAAAGAGCAGCTGAATGTGTCAGAAACAAATAGTTTCTTTTGAATTGCAAGAAGATTCTAGTCATGTAGTTGTTTCAATGTGGCTGGGCTGTCCTGTTCCTGGTCAAAACAGTGCTCTGCGTGCAGATAAGGACGTGGTCTTATGCAGAGGTGAGTCTAATAGATCTGAGTCTAATTATTGCTGCTGTGAGGAAGTGAAGGCTGTTTTGGTACTGCTTGTGAGTTTTAGGGAGTGTTAACAGTGTCTTTCAGCCTGTTGTCTAGTCAGCATTTCTAGACACAATCTGGGCCTTAGACTGATGGTTCCTTCCTCTGAACTTGTTTATAGTGAACCAAGGTGACCCTGCAATCCCTTGTGTGAAGAGGCAAAACATATGCATTTGATTCTTATCTGGTTGTTCCCATGCAATGAGGCTTGTAGTGTTGGTTATCCTAGAAATACATGTAATATTGGTAATTGTTGTGTTATCACTTGCTAGGCGTGTATTTGATGGTCCTCTGCTTCGCAGTACTTGTACTTCAGTGTTAAGGTTATGATTGCAGACACATTTATGTAGTAGAAATTCAGAGGCTAAGATGGATATAAACTTGAGTGCTCTTGGTATATGAGCAGCTTCCATGCTGTTCCTTGAGTATTAGCCACCTCTCTTGGACTCCTCTTCCCTCTAAGGCATGTTCCCACAAGATTGTTTCAAGAAGATGCCTGAAGAGATCAGTTATCTCTTCAGGACCTGACTCAGGACGCTGTTTCTTTGCAGGATCCTTTGCTGCACCGTGTCATGGTCACTGCAGCCAAGGCTGCCCCCCACATTCACAACCCAGCCAGTTCTTTGTTCTTGGTTAGTGCAAGGTCCAGCAGCACATCTTTCCTCACTGGCCTCTCCACCACCTGTGTTAGAAAGTTGACATCAGTGCTCTGCAGGAGCCTCATGCACTGTGTGTGCTCAGCTCCCCCAGCAGAGATGGGGGGCTGAAGTCACCCATAAGAACCAGGGTGTGTGACTGTGAGGCTCCTTCCAGCTGTCTGTAAAAACCTCATCCACTTGCTCCTCCTGATCTGGTGTCCTGTAACAAACACCCACAGCACTGTCACCCTGCCTGCTCTGCTCTTTAATCCTAACTCCTAAGCTCTTGACTCGCTCATCATCCTCCCTGAGACAGAGGGCCATATGTTGTTCCAGGTGTTCTCTTAAATAAAAAGTGACTCCAACACCTCGACTGTCCTTTAAAATGTGTAATTGAAAACCCTTCTGTGTCTCTACAACTCTTAAATGACCAGATACGTCACCCTTTCCCATGTTGAGTTCTGAGGCCTGAATTTTTACTTAACTTTCACTAAACAGTTTTTATTTTGATTCCCATAATGAAATATTTCAGAAGCATACAAGCTAGACATAAAACTTTGTTACTTGATGTATTTGGTTCTGCTGTAGATGCTGTGTATCTCTTGCTTTGCTGTCATGAATGCATAGGCTTTCATTCCTCCCTTTTCTCCAGGGTTTTTTTCAGCTCTGAGTTGTTGTTTCTCTCTTCTACCTAAGCCTTGCCTCAAAGTGATGCTGTCCTTACCAGACCTTGTCAGCTGATGCTGATTGGGAGCAGCATTCTTGCTGGAGCCCCTCACTGTGCCAGCACAAGTGTTTGTGGAGCTCTGCAGGTCTGGTTGTTAACTTAGGCTGATGGCTTCATTTCTACTGAGTTAGTTTTTGTTTGGATCAGGTCTTTGGTGTGGTTTGCAGCACACAGCCATGGTACAAGGCCATGCTGTGCTTGCACGTGAGACCAGGTGATACAGAAGTGAGAACGAGCAGCCCATGGCAAGGAGGAGAGCAGCACTGCTTCATCTGAGAGTTGTGATGGTTTGAGGTAGTTTGAAGTGCTTAAATGATATTAAAATATTACTCTTTTAGATCCTTTCTGTCATTGTACACTTGTGCCTTGAGTGCTATTTCTTTCCAGAGCTTCTGAGATATGTGGAGGCTAAACCCTGATTTCCAAACTCAAAGCCAAATCCAGCACCCATAGTGAATGTAAATTTGGTTGTGTTGTGCAATAGATTCAATTTCTCTGTCTCCAGAACTACATAGGAATGCCTAGGTATGAAATATTTCAGAATAAGAAGAATGTTCTCATTAGGATTTGAATTTCTGTTATTCTTAGTGGGCTCAAAAGATATGTCCCCATGTTGGCCATTTTCATTCAATCTCAGCTGTTGGGGGAAACTGGAAATTGCCAGCTCCTAGTGGTGTTTGCTGGTCTGGATGAAATAAAACAAATTACTTTTATTTAGGTTTCCAGTTTTAGAGTATTGCTAAACAATAAAATTTCCTTGTCAGTTTTCAAAATTCCCAGCATAAACTTGGTAACAGAAATAGGAAAAGCCCCACATACTTCTCTTTTTGTACTGAAGAAGGCATGGGTGGATGTGGGGAAACTTTATGAAGCAACTGCACATTTTGCTGTCTGTCCTTGTTTTTGCACTAATAAAAGAAGTTTCCACTTCAGTGTCAGACAACACTGAAGATGCCATTTGTCCTTGAAATGTACTCCAAGTTGTTGTTTGGCACCCTTTCCACAAGCAGGAAAACTTTGCAGTGGGGAAAAAGAATAGAGGAGAGAAAAGAGCAACAATCCTATTGCCTTAAAATTGTTTTGCGTCATCTGTGGCCAAATGATAAATACTTGCTGTGGTTGTGACTTGTTTTCTTGTTGGACTGTCTGGAGTAAATCATTAATGGAATTTGTTTACAAAATACTCCAGTCTTCTGTTAGCCCCTGTCATTTACTGCGTAGGGCATGTGTGAAAACTTGTCTGGTGCACTGATGGAGCTAGTGAGACATTTGACTGAGCAAGTCTCTATAATGTGATGAAATATGTGGACCTACACCCACCAAATTTTATTTTTTTTAGCTTCTAGAGACAGATTGCTATCGTCTGTGTTAGTTTAGAAGGCTGGGAGAAATTGTCGTCTAAAATACAAGCAAGTCTGTATTTTCATGAAAGCTTGATGTCCTTATTTAAGGAAATCTCTTCTTGTTACAGCAACAGTAGCAGTACACAGCCTGCTGTGCTCTACTGAAATCTTCGCATCAGTACCAAGGGAAATGATGCCATGAGTGCTTTTCTCCCCAGGTGCTGAGGAAGTCCTGCTGCTCGCCAGAAGAACTGACTTGAGGAGGATTTCCCTGGACATGCCGGATTTCACTGACATTATTCTGCAGATAGACAACATCAGACACGCGATCGCCATCGACTATGACCCTGTGGAAGGCTACATCTACTGGACTGATGATGATGTCCGGGCCATTCGTCGGGCCTATCTCGATGGCACTGGAGCCCAGACTCTGGTGACCACGGAGATCAACCATCCAGATGGGATTGCTGTGGACTGGGTGGCCAGGAACCTCTACTGGACTGACACTGGCACAGACCGCATCGAAGTGACGCGGCTGAACGGGACGTCGAGGAAGATTCTTATCTCAGAAAACCTAGATGAACCTCGAGCCATAGTGCTCAATCCTGTAATGGGGTAAGTTTGGTGCTTAGTGGGAGCCCTGGGGTAGGTCTTGGCATCCAGCTTATGGTCTCCTGAAAGCGAAAGCATGCAAATTGCAGGATGATGCCTGTACCGTTTGTCAGATATTCAGGAAATGACTGGTTTTCCCTTGATTCATCCCTTCAATAACTGTGTGCATAAAAGGTGACGTCTAAATATAATGTTCTTCAATGAACCTATTCATTGGGTGTTTGGTTGCATTTTCTTTTCTCTGCATCTTCAGTGTTATCCTAACTATGAAGGAATTGGGCCACTGCATATTTTCAGTAGTTTAATTTATTTACTGCTCAAACTTTATATTGTCTTCACTGATTACTGTTTAAGCTGGCTTGTTTGCTGCTGCTGGGGAAGCAAAAAGCAAATTCTTTCAAAAGCAACCCAGACCTTAACTCTTGTCTTGCCTGTTGCATGCATTAACTGTTCCCTTTTTAAAAAAAAATTTATTATTTTTATTTACAGTTACATGTATTGGACAGACTGGGGTGAAAGTCCAAAGATAGAATGTGCTTATTTGGATGGCTCAGAAAGGCGAGTTCTGGTGAATACTTCTCTTGGGTGGCCTAATGGCTTGGCACTGGATCTTGAGAAAAACAAGCTTTACTGGGGAGATGCAAAAACAGATAAAATAGAGGTGAGTAACAGAGCCATACTTGGGTGCATTTGTAGGAAACAAGTGCAGTTCTTATATGCAGCTTTGTCTTGGGTATGTTTACCCATTTTTGGAGTAGTCTGTTGTTTCATTAATATTAAAATGATACTTAGCATAACAAGACATATTTGAGAAGAAAGGAAGTACATTCATGTGGTTCAGAAAATTTCTGCAAGAAATGGTATGTTTGTTATGCCTACATTGCTCCAAGTGTAATTTAATTGCTTGAAATCTCAGGTTTTACCTGAGGCTTTTGCAACAAATTGGGACAATCAGGTAAAATTTGTATAAAAGATGTTTTGGCTTGTCTGTGGTGCTTGGAACTGCTATCTAAAATTGCTGGATGCAGAAGACACTGCAAGGTTCTTGTACAGGAGCCAGTGGATATGGAGGCCCTGGAAAGCCATATTTCAGGATGTTAATGATTATGTGATGTCTGGATTTGTGGACAGGAAGTAAATTTTAATGTGCCCACTGCTTTGAAAACAATATAGGCAGTCCGTGCCTGAATTTGAGGAGGGAAATTTCTACCTTGGTCACAGCCTGAGAAATCAATTGAGTTTTAATGTTGTTTGGGGTAGTAGCATATGCAACATTTTTTGATAAATAATTTAGATAAATAGACTTTGAGGAATGACTCCTTTCTAAAGATTTTGCCATCAGGAAGAGAGGAAACTAGAATGTCTGCTAGCTCCAGAAATTTAATTTCAGTGTTTGGCAGTAGCTAATACTGGGTTTGACGACTGCCAGAAAGATCCTGTCTCCCCTTACCTTTCAGCTTGCAGGATGGGGAACATTCCAGATGCCACCTTTTATAGCTGGGGCTGCCTTGTGTTTCCAGGGGTTAAGCATTCTTTTCAGTCTGTCTTACTTCACTGTCAGGCAGCAAATCCAGCAATCCTGTTTGGTTTGACTTCAAAGTCTAAGAAAACCAGAGAAACCAATGTAAGGGCTTTTTATTCTCTCAGTTTTTCTTTCATGCTACTCTACTGGCCCTAATACGCACGAAACTTCACTCTATGTCATTTGAGGTGGGGCATTTCCAGTTTCACTTGCTGCTGCAGTCATTCAGCATAAACTCATTTTCCCGTGCTTGTGTGTTGTTGCCAAGAGCATGCCATTTTAGCAGCAGCCACTGTGTCTCAGTGATTTGTTCTGTATGTATGCATGTTGCATCCACAGCTTGTCAGAAACAAAAATCAGCTGACTTCAAGTTGAGGATACATATTTATATTTTATACTGTAGTTGACCCAGCTGGGTATTGGGATTTCTCTTTTTTCCCAACAGACACCTAAAACTAGCTTGAAGCATGTTACTGGATAAATTTAGTTTCTGTTATCACCTAAAATCAGCATAAATGGGATGGCAGATAGTAAACTTAACTATTTTGTAGCTCATTAGGTAGCAAAAGGAAAAAAAAAGATTATGATGTTTTAGGTGGTTTACTCTCTTGCTACACTTCAAGGAGGGAGTTCTTGCTTCATCTTAAATGACGTTCAGATTTATGCTGAGTGCTCCTGAAGAAGGAAGTCTTGCAACCAAGTATTTTGTCCCTACACAGTTCAGAAAGTTTCACTCTGCAGCTGCGTTGTACTGCAGAAGGCAAAGAAGGTTCTGCCTTGTCTGTGCTGAAGATGGGATCCCAAATTGCTGTTAGATGGTAATTGAGAATTGCTTTCATCACATGGCATGCCTTCAGCTGCTTTCTACAGAGAACAAAACACGACAGTGAATGTAGCTTGTGCATATTTGTCTGTGTCTCTGCTTGGTATTCTGCTCTGGCTTCTGGTATTCTAGATCTCCAGGGAGTCATCTTACTCTCACTGGGAAGGCCTGTTTGAATTTAAAGTTCTTAAACAGTGAATGAACTTTGTACAGCTTGGAAATTCGATAAGCTGAAGGCATCTGTCCTGTTTTTCCTGGACCTCTGGTCTGAAGTGCCCTGTGAATGTCCCTGGGTGGGTGGGTTGGTTTCAGGGGTGGTTTTGTTCAGTTCTGGTAACAGACTGTGACATTACTTTTGGGTGCACTCTTCCTCAGTTAGAAGATGATCTCTGCAGAGCTGTTGAAGTTACACCAAGCATCACTCTAGACCAGGAGACTGTTTTATTTGTGCATGGAGAACTTCACAGGGTGAAAGCAGCAGTTTACCCTTTCCTGTCAAAACCCTTTGCTAACCTTCCCATCTGCAACATTCAACTGCAACACAAAGGGCCCAGTCACTTTGCAAGCTGTTTGCATCCTGGAGAAACCACTTGGCAGGGCTTGTCAAAATTTTGTGTGACAGGAGCCTACGGGGCTTTCGCTGCAAATTTGGCACCCTGTGGCAACACTGTTCCCAGGTTTTATTTTTTAAAATTACTTTGACAAAGAGTATGGCAAATAGAAAACAGATAGCAAATTTTGAGTCGTGTCTGTCAAAATCATGTGTTTGTCCACACAGCTTCAGCTACAAGTAAAGGGCATGGATTAATCCAACTGAACTTTGGATTTTACTGCCGGAGAAAAGTTACTTTCCAGGAACAAACAGCAGATTAATAAGGATTACAGGATTCCAGCAGAGAGAGAAGCAAAGGCCCACGTGTATAGTTTCCTAATTCTTCTTTTAAAAAATTTATGGCAAGCCAGGTTTTCCCATGTATTATTTCTTCAGTATTTGCTTAAAGTGCCTAAGGTATAGTTGCATAATGAGCAATTATGAAATTTTCAGCTGCCTGTCATTATGTATGCATTTTAGTTGAGCTTGTGCAATATTCTTGGAATAAGCATTCAGCAGACTATCCCTTCTGGCAGCTTCCCCTCGTCGCCCTCTTCCCTTTCCCCTTACTTGACAAATGTCCTTCATTTGTTTTTTTTGTGTGGGAGATCCATAGTCACATAACTATCACATACACAATAACATATCACAGACAGTAAGTCTTTGCAAGTTTATAGGGTGTTTTAAGTCAGCACTAGATGATGATCAATGGAGCTCACTGGAATTTCTTTCCCAGGTGCAGTTGTGTGGGCTGCCCTTGAGTTTTCAGGAAACAAGCTTTATAATTAGTGTTTTGTTGATCACATTCTACATAAATAATGTAAAAGGCTATTTGGAACAATTTGCAACTTAAATATAGGAGTAGAATTTGTAGAAGTCAGTTGTACTGGGGAGAAAAAAATAATAATTAAACTAACTTAAAGCTACTTTTTCAAAACAAGTCGAAGTATACTTCACATGTTACACTTTATTTTCCAGTTATTTGACCTAAAAGATGCAGTATTTAGTTTATACATGAAACATTTTCTCATAACTGATATATTTTGTGTGTGTGTGTTTCATTTTTCAGCAAAGGATTAGAATAACCTATGCAATGTAATAAACTACTTGGAAGATATTCTATACTGGTTTACTGAAACAGGCAAATCTTATAGGGAGAAATCTAATTTAAACTTATTGCCACATGCTAATTAGCTGTAAAAAAATCTCAAAGCGTTGTTTTCTATAAATATAAATGCATTTCAGAAGACCTAGTTTATACTTCTATTAATGTAAATAATTCCCACACTGCATATTTCTATTAATATATGAGAACAGAAAAGTTAAATGAATATAGAATTAAGGAATGCAGGATCTCTGTAACTGAAAGAGCAGATCTTCAATCTTAGATGAGTCTAAATAGGCAGGTGCATTAATAAAATGACTTTGATTTATAATAGTGAGGGAGCCTTAATTTCAGTGGGGTTTTTTGAAACTTTTCAGTGACATTCCATTTAATTTAAAACTCTGGCAAAGAAATGTTACGAATTGAAGCTTACACTGTGGTCCTTAGATGAATGAGATATGTATCTCCTATACTTTTTACTGCATTCTATATTTTTTACTTCTGATAAATTGGTAGATAACATTCTTTCCAGCTGCAAGTGCTACATATGTGAAGTGATATACAGCACACGATGTTGACATACAGTGTGTTAATGTTGAATAGCATATGTAGGAATTGGGCTGGCAAACCTGGTGCTCATCCCCGCAGTTCTTAGAGCTCTGTTCAGCTCTGTATTCCTGCAGCTCCTTTGGATGCTGCCACTTCTGGTTTTCTGTTTGCAATGCACTGCTCTTCTGACTGGCATTAAGCTCTGCTGTTGGAGAAGTGGCATGCTTGTGGCTGTTGGATATGGTTTTTTGTTGGGGATTGTCTTTGTGGTTTGTAAGCATTATAAACCTCTCTGCTGTTATTAATCTGAAGTAGCTGTCAGGTGTAAAAGCCATAATGAGAGATGCAGGACTCCAGGCAGCTCTTCCAAATGCAGTTTATTGCATCCAAGACGTTACAGCAGTCCAGGGTCGTGGGCGACAGAGCCTGTGCCTACAGCTGTCAGCTCCAGCTGCGTGCAGGCCTGGAGACCCTTAGTTTAGGTTACAAATGCATTATATACTTTTCTTTGCTGAGCATCTTAATACAGTAGAATCCATCTATACCTTAACCTTTATCTGTAGCTAACTACTGTAATTACCATATTCATGTTACTATTCTCCAACCACTAAAAGTTAGTACTTTACAGTTTAAGCTAGAAGTTGTTTTTCAGTTTTCTTGCAGTGGAAAATTCTGAGACCTTTTTTCTACTTGCAACATTGGCAGGCTTGTTTGCCTGTGCTATCTTTCTGCTTGGTAAAAACATCATCTTGTTTGAGGTGGGTTTATCCTTTGCTCTAAGCCATAAAACCCCTTCTAACTAACATACCCTTTGCCTCCTTGGTTATCCAGTAAGACTGGCTCAGCAATTCTTTTCTTCTATATCAAAACTTGCTTTCATTTCTATTCCTTCTTCAGATTCTACATTCAAAAATCTTTCTGCCAAGCATCCATATCTGTGAAACTCTTGTCAAGCTCTCATCCTTCCCAACAGTCAGGCCTCCGTATCGCTCTGTGTTTAGCTTGAGGAACCATGAATGCTGTTGTAGGTGGATGGGGGATTTTTTTGTTTCACTTGAAGGGCGCTGCTC